CCAAAATTTGGATGATTTTGAATATCCACTTGAAAAGTTATCAAAGAAAAACATTTTTCATTTTGTAACTTCGAGGGCCCGTTACTTGGTAACGAAGGATTTTAGGGAAAAAAGTTATATGAAGTACTGGTGATATTTTGACCCCATCTATACATTCCCGAGAGGAAAAGAGGAAGTCCAGGGACACCCTGTATATGCCTCATCGCTCACAAGTGATTTTGGCGAAATTGGGAACACGTGTGAATCGTTGAATTCATTCCACGTGCCACTATAAGGGTGTCTGCAATATGCTGTGTAATGTCCGTTGTAAGTAATCCCACTGTGAATTGAAAGTGCATATAGATTATAACGACAAGGAGCCACATTGTCTGCTGCATAACTGCTCATGTCTAATCCATCTGAAGAAAAGTCAATGGAAACATTCAATTTGCCTCTGAATCTTTCCGTTGGAGAGAATCTTTTCAAATGAATCACTAAAATACGGGAAAACTTATAGATTGATAAGGACTTTGTACATTTTCTCCTTTGCTTGCACCTCGAACACATTGGTTTTTCATCTCCATTCAGAGTTTCCTCTCTTGTGAAAGAATCCAAGAATGTGACAAACTCAATTGGTCAGTTCTTTGTGGTATGTGAAGAGACAAATCCCAGAAAGGATCAAAGGTTACTGATGAGTGTCCACAGTGTGTGCTCTTCATAGTGGATTTTAATTGACCAACGAAATAGTCTACAATCTTGGAGTTGTCCATATTCAAATATCTTTGCCAGGATTAAGTAGTCTTGAAAAGGGTAGGTAATAAATATTCTCTCATAACGTCAATGGTTCTGGAATTATTTACGAAAAACTAGAAAATTGAGCAATCCAATTATAGTTCAAAAACGGATGTATATGATTTAGAATTGAAACTACTAATCATGTGGGGAATCACACGTTAAAAGGTAAGACCTCGTTAGTACATAGCTAACACAAGTTTTGACTTCTGAGGGTTTTCATTCGTAGGGGTGCGATAGCTGGTTAATGGAAAAAACATACTTCAAACATATTTTAAACAACAACATATACGTTCTTTAATTAGATAGATAAGCTGTGGAAGTTTCAATAAAATAAAATTTGCGGTTTTGTGAACGATTTACTGAAAGTTTCTTAATAAAGTGTTACTTAAATACTTGAACGCACGATAAAGCTGCTGTATAGTGAAAAAAATAATGTTGTTTTTGTAAAGTGTTACATTTATTGTACATTAGACGAATGTTGTGAACAAACTTTGAATTTTCAAACTTCACTGGTATCGATTCATATTTTGTATTATTTGGATTCATACTGAGGTGAATATTAATCATATTAATCAATAATTCTCGGTTATACATATATGTTTGACGATTTTTCAATCACTAGGAAAAAAATCGAATTAAAACTTGGTTTTATAATATTATTGAACATCCCCATCAAGCTAAATCAATATATGGAGAAAGGTCTTATAACGTTTAACTTATGTAATTTTAGACCATATCAATCTTTGTCTGTGGGTCAAAATTGAGCTCATAGTTGCTTTCCCTCGTTCAGAAAGATACCCCGAAATACGAAAATTAAATTCACCCAACTTTTCAACCTATAAACCACATTGGTTGGCGTATACACAGTAAGTGTGTCAAATTTTTTATTATTATCGAGAAGTTATAAGGTGTGAAATGAATTACATTAAAATAAAATAACTAACAGTGAAGTAGATTTTCGAGTACACAATCTTTTTCTTTTTTTGAATACTTCCTATTATTATTATGTTCAATAATAAAAGTCACTTTCTGAACCACCAATAACACATATCACATATCATTGTTTCCTAATTTTATAGTAAATCAATAATAAATCTATGAACAGTGTCGAACAAAAATATGATACTTACATGTGGCGAAGAGGAACAGTGCTAACAATACAAATTTCTTCATTTTGTTAAATGTTGATGCGTAATCAGCTTGGTGGAAAAATAAGCAAAACACGTATGATACAGACCATCTTTTCCAAGTCTTTATATATCTCCAGGTTGATTAAGAATTGTTTACGACTATGTGGATGTCAATAGGTCAGTGTTTACAAGATGTTCGGTGTTATAATTTTTTTCATCAAAATCAACATCATCAGCACAAACAATTTCTAAATAACCTGTCTCAATTTAACACTTTCATAAATATATATTCTGTCAATATGAATTTTTTAGGCACCTCCTGGTCAAAGTTTCTAATATTTAATAGAATGAGGTCGATAACATTTTGTCAAGATTTCTAGTGGGGTCTCGAGTGGAGTTCGGTAAGGCAGAATTTTTTTCATTGAGAAGATCCAAGTAATCCAACCTGGTGATGTGTAATTCGTTACTTATCCAACTATATGATTTCTCTCACTTTCCAGATTCTTTTTCAATATTTATTCCAGTAAATAGATAATCGACTGAATAGGGTTTTTTTCATACTTTAGAGTGAACAATGTATCTGTATGACTCAAAGTTTCCAGCAGAACCTAGTCTTTGCCATTGATAATAAGTGAACAATTTGTGGTTTCCAGTAGAACCTAGTCTTTACCCTTGATAATAAGAAATAGCACACAATAGGTCTTCCATTGATCAGGAGGTAGTCCAGGATTATCATCCAGGTGATGTATGAATCTGGGTCCACTCAGTATCACTCACGGAACCTTTGAGATACTGGACGCATTGTACAAAGTCTTTTCACGATTACACCTGGCTCTGCTATGATATAAATTATTTCCCTGGCTACTCGTGGGACTATTTGAGAATGATTGAGTAATCCTGAGTGGACAAAAGAGATGGAGATCGAATAAACGGTCCTCAGCCCTCTTCAACTCTCGATACTGTTGAGAAACCTAAGAGGCTAGATGGTGCAGACGGCTCTCGAAGAGGCGATTAATCTGTCTTACACCAAATTATTGACATAATGCATCACGAGAAAAACCAGTCTCACCCTAAACAGGTCAGCAAATTCCTTTACGCTTGAACAAATCTGGGACCAAAACTTCCTGCATAGCTTAATCTGATGTATTGTCATTGAGGTGGGAATATTGCACCTTATATTTTTACCAAACCTCGTAGGTCATTCTTCTTTATGGTTTCAACAGGATGGAGTACAACCACATTTTTCACCCCCTGCAGCGGGGGACGTGAGAACCCCCACCCAGACAGGTGTCTCTAGTGGAGGTGAAAGTCCTCCTAAATGTTTGACTGTGAGCCCACTAAATGTTACTGACTCAGTATCCATGATAGATCTCCTTTTCCTAGCTATTCTAGGCACCCTTTGAGGGCCATGATGTAATCAAAAAATCGAACCTTGAGTCTTTACGAAAAATATTTTTCAAACAATGACAATCCTTATCAAATAAATATATTAGATTAGCAGCCGCAAGTATTTCATACATATGAGAGTTACCTACTCTCTGAACCATATAAATATAATCAATATCTTAGGAGTTATCGAAAAATTAAATTTACCATAAGAGAATATAAATTCAAGCGACCTGATTTCCGTTCAAATTAGACTAAAAAATAAGAGTGAAGGTACATAAATTTACAACAAGCTGCAAATGCGTGTAATTGTTCTAAACATAGTAAAAAATAAGATTTTGAAATTCAGAATGATTGCGATGCCTGGAAAAAAAATTATGCGAGGTCAAAGGTCAATTATCTCGAAAAAAATTGGTTTTTCGCGATTTTCAGGAAAACGGTTTTATCATGAAATAACCCTCGATAAAAATTTTAGATCATAAAATTCTCTACAAAAAATGTATCAATGTACCGTTTCTGGGATACGACGAGTCAAAAAGTTATGAAAGTTGTAATCGTCATTATATGCATAAGTATGCCACGTATATACATCTGGTATATACGTGTAATACATCTGGTATATACGTGTAATTGAGAAATATTATGAATATGAATTGGCTCCCTACCCTTTATCGTTGTTTAATAACCTCGGGATGCGTAAAACACAGAAGTCTGCCATTAACGATTGTTTCCAACAGGTCAATATTGAAATTAACAATATTAATACGACATATATCATTGACTTACTACATCGTGTTGTGTAGGATAGTAAAGAAACATTTAGCATTATTTTAGATAAATACGTTCATACGTAGACATTTTGGTGCCAGATTTAAGGTCGTATTTGATGGTTATGATGATTGCACGAGAAATATTAAAGCTACAGAACAACGTCGTTGAACTTTAGTAACATCTTCATCTTCCGATATTCTATTTGATGAACTTATGACAGTTCCTACCAGTCAACAGAATTTTTTTGCAAATACTCACAACAGATCTCGGTTCATTTCAATGTTGAAGGATAAGTTTATTGGCGAAAATATATTGGTTAAACAGGCTAATAACGATGCCGACGTACTGATTATTGAAACAGCTGTTTTCCAACCCTTCCTAATATATTTTATTATGCAAGTTTTCAATTTGACAGAATCACAACAGAAATGTGGAATAGGCCTACTGGGGAAACCACGTAAAAAAACGCGCTAAGTACACTACCTCATAGGTGGCGTGGAAACATGTGCATATAATGACGATTAATGACTTTTACAACTTTTTGACTCGTCGTATCTCAGAAACGGTGGCTCTAAGAAAAAAGTATTAGTCTATTTTTTGTAGAAAATTTTATGATCTACAATTTTTATCTAGGATTATTTTATGATAAAACTCACCGTTTTCTTGAAAGTCGCAAAAAACAATTTTTTTCGAGATTTTTGACGTTTGACCTCGATTACATTTTTTTCCAGGCATCGCAATCATTCGGAATTTCAAAATCATATTTTTAACTATGTTTTGAACAATTACACGCATTTGCAGCTTGTTGTAAATTTATGTACCTTCCAATGTCTAGATCTAGATTGACCGGATCCAAATTATACACGTGCTGAAAAAACGTTTCAAAAGTGTTTTTCCGAGAAGTGATTCCTTTTTGACGTTGAGGTAGCATTTTTGTTTTGCATTGATTTTGGGTGAATAATATTCAACTATTTCAAAATTAAAATTGATAGTTGTGAACATTATTTCATTCGACTGAATTTTATCACACTCTTATCATTATTAATTAGGTTCCGGCTTTGTCGAGGGAGTTGATATAAGATTGTGTGGTAGTTGCGATGAAAGCATAAACTTCAAATTATGAGATGTCAGCGAATCTTGCTCTACATTCTCTTTCCAGTATATTTCACACTCGTGAAAAAAAATACTTCAAATGGTCAACAATGTTGCAGAATATTCCACAGCATTCGAGACTGTTCCGAAATATTTTGCAATGACCTGGATTGTTCAGGGATATTTTCAAAGGTTCAAGACTATTATCCGACATTCCACAACATTCCATGTTCCGGGATATTCCAGAATTTGTGTGAGGTGCTCTCGTTAACTCTCGTATATTGTGGAATGCTCTAGAATTTTTTGGAGGCTGAAACTTTCAACTCCTATACCGTCAAAGCACTCCGTTCATAAAAAAAAATAAACATTTTGTTGTCCCCTCCAAGATATTTTGGTTTTTTATGCTGTGTGCAAGTTGTAATCGAATCACGTTCTTGAGAGTTCGAATACCATAAATATTCCATTCCTATGATCATTTCAGGACTACCAACAAGCTAAGATCAATTTGAAAGTGTATCGCTCAGGTCAATCATTTTTACTTTTCAAATTAATAACCAAAACAAACAGATAACTCGATGTATAAATTCATTATATCTTTGTTTTGGCTTGATTGCATTCAACTGATGAATAATACATACGAATTTCATATAATGGAACAAATTTATCTTCTTTATTATTATCAGTGTCAAAAAATTAAAACATGTCATTCCAGTTAAACTGTTATATATTTGTTTCGAGCATCATGTTAACGACAACTTATTATAACTCATCCTCATAGTTTTATTTGATATCGGAGATTAAATATATTTTCACTTTCTATTCTTCTTTGAATAATTCCTCAACCAATGGAAATTATGAAAATAAAAAAGAATAGAAATGATTGATCTGACATCAGATCCGGAGTACCCCAGGTCCTGTTTTGTTCTAATTGTACCTCAATGACTTGACTGGTTTACCTATCACAGGAAAATTCACATTGTTTGGCACCACCACCGTTGTATGGCATGGCAAAAATGTGGGAAGCTTAAAAACACTCTTAGCCTTGGATCTATGACCTTGGAGGTCATATCTTGTTGTAACTCGAACTATCTCTGCTTCAACATGAATAAAACTAACATCCTAACCTTCAAGTTAGAATTGAATAATATCTGTCTGGAAAACAAATCATGTATTAAGTTTCTGGGAATGCACATTGATAATAAACTCAAATTCGAAGACCATATTATGTCACTAATAAAAAGATTAGGATCAGGCTGCTAGGCTGTCAAACGAACTTGGTTCGGTCGTTGCTAGGAACACCTATTTTTTCCTCATCGAATCTCATATTAGGTATGGCATAGCTCTTTGTGGTTTCTGTAGCCAGAATTTATTTCAATCTATCCAACAAAAGAGGGCCATGAGGTACTTGTATAGGGCAAAGACGAGGGACCACTGTAGACCGTTGTTTGTATCCCAAATTTTATTAAAAATAAACACAAAAGGAACGTAAATATTAAAATAAACATATATCTGTACATAAATATTTGCTAACACAAAGCACTTGTAAACATTCAAAGCTCGAAAAATTCTTCCATAGTATAGAAGCAGTTTTCTAAAAGATATTTCTTTGTTTTGCTCTTGAAATTGTCAAAGCTGCTAATGTCTTTAAGAAGCTTTGGCAGCTTGTTGTAGATTGAAATACAGTTATAGAGAGTTGATTTTCTGAAGGTTGCTGTCCTATGCTTTGGTATATCAAGAATAAATTTTCTTGAAGAGTAATTAATATTTATTCCCAATATGTTGAATTCAGCAAAGTTATTTTTCACAAATGTACGCATTTTAGAATAAATATGAAATGGAATGGTAGAATACGGTGCTCTTTAAAAGTGGATCTACAGGATTCCCTATGTTCCAAATTTAATATTAGTCTAATAAGTCTTTTTTGAGATATAAAAACTCTTTTGTACTCAGTTGATAGCCCCCATGTTGCAATATTATTTGATAAGTGACTTTATGCAAATGCACAGTATAGGTTCAGCAACCTATTCCTGTCTAAAATTGGTTTCATTTGAACAATTGCATAGTATGCTTTATTGA